TTGGGAGGTCATGGAAAGGAGGTGGGTCCCCAGAGACCTGTGTCTTTCTTTTCTCCGGGCCCTCTCTATGTGTTTACTGGCCACCACGGGTGGGACAGCTCTACTCTGCCCTCACACACCCGTCATGATGCTCAGCCCAGAACTGATGGAGCCCAGGGACCACAGACTTGCAGCAGGCCACCACGCCTATCTGTCAGTCTCTGGGAAAATGAGTTCTGTCTTCATTCCTATGGCACACACACTTTAGTCCCTAAGCCATCCCCGCAGCCCCAAATCTTTCCTTCCTTTGTGTGGTTTACACCAGGTATTCTGTCACAGTAAAGAAAAGTGACTGCTACACCCTGGGACTGGATCGGACACCCTCTGTCATCTTCTATTCACACAGGTTTCCTTGCGATGAATTTTTTTTTTTTATTATGGCAGCGGATAGGAATTTGCTCTTCTAAGACAGAGCCTCATGAGGCAGAAGGGAAGGCAACCCGATACCAATACTGGGAGTGTCCAGGGCATGAACTCCAAGCAAGTCCAGCTGTCCAAGAAGGATGTGTTTCCCTGGAAACACATGGCTGCCCTGGGTGCAGAGTGGCAGTACCCTGTGAGTTTGTGGGAGTCGCCCCGAAGTTTGTAGCCTGGACCTCAGCCTTTGGGTCTGAGTCCTTCCTCTCCAGCTAAAGCGAAGGGCTAATCAATCTACTTACATCAGGCTTGCAACCCCCACTGGGAAGTACATATCATTGAAGAAAGTATCTGGGCCTCATCTTGGGAAGACGTTCTCAATGCTTCTCCTCTTCTGCCGTTCCATTTCCCCCCTTTCTAGCACTGTTATGATTTCATTTATGTGTTTATCTTAAAGAAATAATACTAATTAGTGAGAAAGAGGAGGGTTTATATGAGCGAGAATTGTTGAAGCCAAGGTTGGATAAAGCACAGGGACAAATAACCAAATGAATGGAAGCACATGAACTATGAACCAAAGGCTGAGGGGCCCCCAACTGGATCAGGCCCTCTGAACGGGTGAGACAGTCATTTGGCTTGATCTGTTTGGGAGGCAGCTGTGCGCTGGTGCCGGGTCCTGGGCTCGTTGCATGAGTTGGCTGTTTGAATCCTGGGACTTATGCAGGGACGCTTGGCTCGGTCTGGGAGGGGGGAATGGACCTGCCTGGACTGAGTCTACCAGGTCAACCCCGGTCCTCGGGGGAGACCTTGATCTGGAGGAGGTGGGAATGGGGGGTGGGCTGGGGGGAGGGGGAGGGGGGCGAGAGGGGGAGAACAGGGGAATCTGTGGCTATTATGCGGAACTGAATGGTGTTGTAAAAAAAAAAAGGAGTTAGATTAGTCATTGATGTTACAGAAAATTTTTAAAAAATTTCAGTTGAGCCAAGAGCTAAAAAAAATGTAAAAGAATTAAGTAAAGATGTATGTATATTTTAAAATTTAAAATGCCAATAAAAAATAAAAATCTACCATAAAAAAAAAAGAAATAATACAACTTGGAAAATAAGTAAAATGAAGCCCTCTGCTCAGAATCCCTATTGATTTCTGGGCTCTTAACCGTTAGGGGAGGGGGCAGCACATCAGGCTAATTCCTAACATTTGTTTGATGGATAACACTGCGTTTGAGAGCACATTGACTTCCATAGTATTTTATTCTCTTGCTTGCTGTTTTGATTGACTTGAATCCTAAGCCAGGCACACATACAAAATAGTCAAACTGTCCGTGGCTTTTGCCTGTTTAATATAAGAACCTGACGCTTGAAATGAGCCGATTATGCACCATGCTCAGGAGCCAGTGAGACAGGGGCAGGAAAACGGCTCCTCTGTATCACTGATGACTGGACCCGAGGACAGTTCCCTAAGACTGGAAGAGAACAGGTCAGAATCATCCACTCTCAGGGGCCAATAGCTATGCTTATGAAAAGTTTGTTGCCAAGGCCCGGCAGGACTAGATGGTCTCGAAGAAGAAAAACCTGGCACACCTGCTGGAAAAAGTGAGCGACATTGAAGAGAAGACTCTTAAAATATTGCCGTAGGACCCAAGAAGAAAGAGGCCATTTGGACAGAGCTCTGCCTCGGCCTCTGAGGACAAACCGCAGATGGTTCCATCGCTTCTCACATACATGCCTTTCTGAGAACTGGAATCTTACCACGGGATGGCACAGCTTCCCTCATCCCAATCCGTACAGAAGTAGCTCATCCACAGTCTCCCTTTCGGGGGTGTGAAGCTTTGGGACTTAAAGGTGGAGGCTACACACACAGCTCCAAGCTTGACGACCCATCGTCCTTCAGGGTTCCAGAACCCAGCAATGTGGAGATGTCTCATAGTTGACAGGGGTGTGTGTCTAAATTTCCAGATGCCTCTTGGGCACATTTGGAGAAACATCCCAATTCCTGGCGGGAAGGCTGTAGAGGTGCGTGGCTGTGGTTATAGCCCATCAGCACCACCTGGGATTCTGCAGCTCATAGACTTCCTGGGATGGGCTCCCATCACATCATCAGGACCCCAGCCTGCTGTCTCCTCCAGAAGTAAATGTCCCTGCCTCCTCCAAGGTGGGCTCACAGACTCTGACTCCATGACTCTTTTTTCCTGTGTTGCTTCTGTGCAGGCTTCATTGTTTGTGGCAAGTCCCTTTCCTTCTCCCACACCTGGCTCCATTCTCCACCTGATGTTTCGAGCTCCCTTCTTGACTGCTTATCCTTTTAGCTACGTTTCCCTCCGAGTTCTCTTAGTGTATCTTTGGGACAAGGAGCAAGGCTGGAGCACTTGTAGTACCCAGTTTCTCACTCTTCAGATTTACTCAGAAAAGAAGCTGTGAACTTAGAACTCAGACACACAGCATCCACTTTTTTTTGGGGGGGGGGGGAAAGACATGTAATTGGACCGATTATAAGCTTTTGCAGTGTTCGTGGGAAGCCTGTGTGAGGTTCCCCCATTTGTGAGAAATCTTGTGTATAACGTATAACCCGTATCCCAATGAGCAAATGGCCAATATTTGAAGAAAGAAAATGAGAAGGTGAAGGGTAGGGCAAGAAGTCAGTCTGGGAACCAAACTCAGGGGCTTAGAGCTAGTTCAAGGACAACGCGTGAATTCTACTGGTTGCAGAGAGAGACCTAAGGAACTGAGCAGCTGGACTAGAAGCCACTGTAAATGCATAGAAGAGTGGAAAGAATCCATCCTTTTCTGACTTACTTCGGTTGGGACGGAAGGTGATTTTTCCCAGCAAGCAGATGTAAGTAAGGGCAGTGGGTGGATAGCATAATCTTATAAGAAGGTTTGATATGGGTTTTAATGTGGCTTCAACAAAGGGCCTGAGGGCTGCATTCCCAGCTACGGCTTGGCAGTGCTCTGGGGGGTCTCCCAGCCTGCTTCCTCAGCAGAGAAGTGAAAATCTAGTTAGGGTGACTATGCAGGTTTCTTGTGGTAGACAACACCTTGCGTATGGGATCCCTTGTAAGCTCAGTGACTCATTGGATGCTACTAGCTGAAGACACTCTGGAGTTTTCATGATGACCATGGACCCTGTAGGCTCTCTTCTGCTCTCCACAAGTTTTGGGAACGTGGCAGCTACCTGCCTTGCCCAGTTCTCTGGCTGTGCATCTTTATTCTCTTTTCTCTTTATTTATTTTTATTGCCCTCAGTTCAAACCCAACATGATATCCCCCTCACTGGCCTTCCATCCAGTCCATCAAACATCAACTCTCAAGTCATTATTACTAGCTCAGATGTCTTTCTGGAGCGCCATATAGCCAACCCCACAGACATCGTCCCCCAGCATCCTACCTCTCACTCCAAGTGTACAGAGCTGAATTTGTGACCTTTCTTTATAACTGATCTCTTGTGATAGAATACTGTTTTCCTTCCCTTCAAAGTCACCTCCTCCAATCCTTCTGTCCTGTGTAACAGAGTGATCCCACTAAAACCCAAATCTAATCACGTTTTTCAACTGATTACAACTCTCTGGTTTCCTCGTGGCACCCAGAGTTATTTGGAAGCTCTTTACGGCCCACCTTCTCGGCTCTTCAAGTGTTTGTTCTCTGGCACATGAGCCCTTCAGCCACACAGGAAGATGGGCTGTTTTCTTTTGGCATGCACGTCTGTCGGTCGGGACACGTGTACAGATGGGCGTACTCTACCACAATCAGGATTATAAACAGTTCCATCGTCCCCAACCCACCTCAGGTCCACCGCGCCAACTGTGCACCGCCTGCCCACTCCTGATCTTGACAACCCTTCCTCTAGAGAGTGTCACTGCGGGTTTGTCTTCTCAGTGGTGTCCCTGTCAGGGACGGGGCTTTACAGACCCCCTCGCCGGCAAGCCTTTAAGATCCATCTGTGCCGTGGCTGTGAGCTCACCTCCTTTCATGGCTGAGTTGTAGCCAATGCCCACAAGGCCCACGGCTCGTTCATTCACTCACCTGTGGAGAGACACTTTGGTTGTTCAAGCATGGGGCAATTATGACTAGAGTTGCCACACATGCATTCCAGAGTGGGTTCTCCTCTGAAGACCTAGTTCTGTTTCTCTGGGGCAAACACCCAGGTGTGGAGCAACAAGGTCTCACAAAATATTGTGTCTTATGACTTATTCTGAGGCTCTTTTTTTTATTACTTTACTTTTTTACTCATTTATTGTTTTCTCTAGGCTAGGATTCGGGCCTAGGAACGTTCACCTAGCATGTTAGGTGAACCCTGAACCTCTGAGTTAGACCCCTTGGCCCTGTTTTGATTTTTAAGGACAAACAAAAGCTTTAAGACCAGAGCACTTTCATTTCCTATTCTCAAGGCTCTGGGACAGACCATGAACTTTACCCTGTGGCAATAAGTTCAAAGCATTTCCAAATACATTTAACTACAGCATTAGGTAGTATGACAACCACAAACAGCTTTAAGAAGTTTTAAATTTTATTTATTGATTGAGTGCGTGTGTGTGTGTGTGGGGGGGGGGGGTTGTAATGGAACATCCATGGAGGCCAGAGGACAGCTTGCATGAGTCAGTTCTCTTCTTCCATCACATAGGTCTCAGCATTTGAACTCAGGCCTCTAGGCTTTGTGACAAGTGCCTTTACCTACTGCCCGTCTCCCCAGCCTCCTTGTGTTCATCCTGAGAGTTTCCTATGTTGAGATAAAAGATGACCACAGTTACAGGGCTGTGAAGTTCCCTTTCTCTCTCGGTTACATCAACAAACTGATAGAGCAAAAGGGTCCGCAGACACGGATAAGACATGGAGAACCTCTAAGTATGGCCTCATCCTACCTCTCTGAGATACATGGCGGACAGTGGAAAAGATGTCCCCTCGGGCTATCTTGAGTGAAAGTATGCATGTCATACCTCTTCTGCAAACACAAGGGTGTGATTTAAGATTCCTGAAGAAGTCTGTAGGTAGGCCAGGGCAGGGGGAGCCAGTTTTTATGTGGGAGCCAATTAATGTCGGCCCTCAGCCACACTGCTCTGATCTGCCTTGGGAAGCAGGCAGGCAGGCAGGTAGGCAGGAGTGCATTGTCGGGGGAGAGGTGCTGCCACAGGTTTCTATCCAGAAAAGGCTGCAGGTTGTCGGCCCTGAGTTGGGGGCGCATGTGTCCCAAGGAGAGCAGCACTAAGTACCGAGGGGAACTCCCTTGTGTTTTCATTCTCCATTGATGGACAATACTAGATTTTTGCACTTTCCCAAATCCCAGAAAACAGATTAGAAGTCATAATTTACCTGCCTGCTTTCTGTCTTCCTCAGGCTCCAGGCTCTTGCTGCTCAGCCACCCTCTGAGGCTGTGGGATGTAACCTGGAGCTGGACTCTGAGATGCCCAGTGGGGTGCCTGAGGGTGGCTGCCTACTCTATGCCTTCCCCCACAGGGGATGCATTAGCCGGGGATGCTGACCTGAAGGTCACTAAATCAGGTCATTGGGTCATGCCCTCGCACTGAAGAAAACAGACCTCACTGGCCAAGTTAGGCAAGAATGGCAAACAGCAAGGCCATCTGCTAGAGTACACAGTGTTTCCTGAGTTCTCAGTGTGCACGTGAACATCTGGGCACCCTTGGTAATAAACAACTCCTAGTGGGGAAGGAAGCTGCTCCTGAAAAGACGAGACTTTCGGGGCAATTCAGTGGTGTCGCTCTGATTTAAAGTGATGTGTGTATGGGACAATTGGGGGAAAGCAAGGAGGAAAACAATGCAGGGAGATTCCACTTCTAGATCAATTCCCAGAAATCCCAGTAGGACCAAGAAACAGGCAACAAAAGTGTTGTTATCAATGTAAAAGAAAAGATGGTGGTCTCCGGCCAGTAGGCTCACCCTTTAGCAACGCCCCTTCCTGAGGGACATGGAACACAAGTATGGGGCATTTAGACACCAGTCCCCAGAAATTCCTAAGGAGCATGAAATGACCCACGCTGGCCGGTTTTATGCCAGCTTTTCCCAAGCTACAGTCGTTTAGGAAGAGGGACCCCTCCACTGAGGAAAAGCTCCTACTAGATTGGCCTGTGAGCAAGCCTACTGTGTGTTTTCTTGATAGATAATTGATGTGGGAGGACCCATCCCGCTGTGAGTGGTGCCATCCCTGGGCTGGTGGTCCTGAGTTCTATACGAAAGCAGGCTGAGCAAGCAATGGGGAGCAAGCCAGTAAGCAGCACTCCTCTATGGCCTTGGCTTCAACTCTTGCCTCCAAGTTCCTGCCCTGACTTCCCTGGGTGATGGACTACAAGCTGCAAGATGGAATAAACCTTTTCCTTCCCAAGTTGCTTTTAGTCACGGTGTTTTATCACAGCAATAGAAACCCTAGCTAAGACGTAGACTCTGTGAGCCCTGCTTACACCCATATACACGTTTGGTGGTCTATGTTTTCTTCATTCCTCCTTGACATCTGCTGAGTTCCTCTCACAAGGATGGTGGGTGCTTTCCCCTCATCTGTGACCTGGGTAAAGGCGAGACTGACTTTGGCACAGATAAAGAGTCTGTTTTCCAGTTCTCCCTTCTCTCTGTCCCATTGGCTGATTTGGATCCTACGTCTTTCAGCCATACCTCTTGCACCTTGTCAAGAGACAAACTGTGCTGTGTCTTAAGGGAAGAAAGCAAGCCCCCCATCCCCAGGCTTAGACTGGATGGTACTGATGGGGTCAGGCAGGAAGGCTTGGCTTGTAGCATTTTCCTTCCCAGAAGGGTCCTGGGGAAGGCACACTGGGGCAGGTTTTAGCTCCAGCCTGATGGTAGGTAGGCTCTGCTTCCCAGGGGTGTCCTTTCAGAGAGCCCATGGAGGACATCCCCATGATGCATTTACAGGATGGGATGAGTTAGTGGGAGAACTTCACTGTGCTAATGAGACCAGGAAAGTCCAACACAGGGTAAAAATACACTATGAGTCATCGGTGTTTAGAACTAAAGGCAGAAAAACACCTACTCATGCCACCATCTGAAATAGCTGGACATAGGATGCTGAGGCGGCCCTTGCTCTGTGCCACATGCCACATGCACAGAAGTATGCCCACAATATCCTGCTGTGGTTCAGCCTGAAGCGGTTTCTTTAATAGGGTGGCTCTGGCACAGTGCTAATAAGAATGAGAAGATAGGGTGGCCTTCCATCACGGGTCAATGTCCATTACCTCCTGGTACCCAAGTCCTGGCACAGGCTGTCTGCCAGCAGGTAGAGGAAGCACTCAGACCTGTGTATGAGGCTGCAGGGTACTCCTAGGGACCAAAGGGCCACAGCCTCAGCTGATGGTATGGGTCATGTCACATGTCACTTCTATGGAGTCTTAGCAGGGTGGAAAACATGTCTTGACATAGCTTCAGGGACGGCATGCCAGTGCTTCTAATTGCATTTTCTTATAAGATTGTCAATTAACATGCAATAGATTCTGTAATGTGAAGCAATCATGTCGACAGCCTTTGGGGGACAAGGAAGGGTGTGAACGTTGATTGGCCATGCCACACATGCGGATATGCAGATCCATCTAGGACAGAGGAGTTAGTTCTCTCTTTTCAGCACGAGTTCCGGGACTCAAAACTCAAGGCATTGGGCTTGTAGGCAAGTGTCTCTACTCGCTGAAGGATCTCTTTGCTTCTTCCTTCCCAGACATTTAAAATGATCATTCTTACTGGCAAAATGATGGAGCTGAGCACCTGAACACACTCTTACCTGGTGGGTTTGCCTCATACAGAAAAGCCAAAGAGAGCCGGGCGGGCGGTGGTGGCGCACACCTTTAATCCCAGCACTTGGGAGGCAGAGGCAGGCGGATCTCTGTGAGTTTGAGGCCAGCCTGGTCTACAGAGTGAGTTCCAGGAAAGGCGCAAAGCTACACAGAGAGACCCTGTCTTGGAAAACCAAAAAGAAAAAAGAAAGAAAGAAAAGCCGAAGAGAGGTCCTGCTTGCCCTACCAGCAGCAGTGCCCCAGGGTTGGGGGGCTGATCTGGCCCTTCCTGCGTCAGCCTCAGAGTTTGTTTTGTGATTGGCAAGATCCACATGTGACTGCCGACACATTCTCTGCCCTGGCAGCAAGTTTTGCCCAGGGTTTGCCGGGAGGCATGATGGTGAATTGAGACTTGCCGCCGTGTGCAGGCAGTTGGGGGGACACTTAGGCAGATGTCTGTCCTCTAAGCTGGCAGGCTGGGGCCACCATCACCGCACTCAGGTTCTGCCTCTGTTTCTTCAGTTTTCTGTGCAAATAGGACTCTGGTAATAACCACGGACCGAAGTGTGGCCACCCAGAGTGTCAAGTCGGCCCCACGTGGTTCACCCATGTGTTCCAGTTTGTGAGCACCCATCCTCATTCTCACTGAAAGGAAAGGAAAATGGAGGCTGAGACATGGGGAGCGCTGGGAGTCTTCCCCTTGCTATTTAAGTGGGAGAAGAGAGGCTCAAGGCATCATGGGAAGTGTTACTCTGAATAGCCAATGGCGTGGCACAAGGCTTCTTTGGAAACAGCTGCTAAGGACTTTGAGTTTCACTTTGAGATGCTCATGAGCCTAATCTTCCACAGCCTCAAGGCCAGGCAAGCCCATGCATATCCAGGCCTTCTGTGGAGAAGACCCAGCCTGAGCTCAGGGCAGCTGCTCTGTATGCCTAGGCAGGTGAGGCCAGGAGGCCTGGCTGTTGGTTTCATAGAGAGTTGGGTCCCAGAAGGAGCATGGCCACTGTTGTTCAGAAAAGTAGAGCGATAGGCGTGAGCAAGGCTGGGGACCTTGTCAGGGTTGTGTTCACATTGATGGTGGATTACCTATCACAGAGTTGGGGGAAAGGAAACCAAAGACCCAGCTGCTAGAAACTGTAAGAAACACGTTGTCCAAGGCCATGCTCACAGAAGCACCCGCTGGACACAGTGTTAGGATTCCTCGGAGACAAAGACACTCAGCCTAGAGGTCTGAGACTTTGTACCTGTCTCATGAGAGAAAGCAGTGGAGGCTGTTTAAACATCAAAGTTGCAGGGGCCCAGATGTGGACAGATGTGTGTGTGTGTGTGTGTGTGCGTGTGTGTGTGTGTGTGTGTGTGTGTGTGTGTGTGTGTGACAGAGAGAGACAGAGAGAGACAGAGAGACAGAGAGATAGAGACAGACAGAGAGAGGTCCTGTCCACAGCATGGACACCTGTCTTTCCCTGACAGGCCCCCATGTGTGCAGAGGGCAACACACATTCCCTGCATTCTTCTCTGTCCCCTATTTAATCTGCAGGGTGTCCCTAAATCAGGACAACACACACCTTATCTCTTCTTGGCACCACTGGGTTCCCACCAGTCGGGCACCTGCCTCAGTTTCCCTTTGGGGGTATCAGCCTCCCAGTGTGCGCCAGCTATTTCAGCTGGTGTGGAGCAACCCACCCTGGAGGGGTGTGGCCAGCATAGGGCAGGCTCTCGTGGGTTAATTATTCACCTAACAAATAAGTGATTGAATAAAATGACTACTCAGAAACTCGGAAACCCATCTATACTCCTGGACTTGGTCTCAGGAGGGCCAGTGTTTATTTTGATTTCTGCTGCATTCAAGTAACTTACTTATGCCTCTTCCAAAAAGAACACAGGGTATCTTAGAGAATGTCCACGCAATGAGATAAAAATAGACACTGAGACCACAGGAAGAAGGAAAACAAGGCAGTGGCTACCTTCTTATAGACAGGAAACGTGTGTTTAAAAAAGTACCTCTCTGGTAGATTCCAAGGTAGAATACAAGAAATGCAAGGCACCCCAGGACGATGATTCTCCAAACATCAATGTGTATTCTCCTGGCTAGACCAAGGATTTTACCCTTAAAGCTATGACCCTTCCGAAGGGCACTTTCAAGGTTAGGACTATGGAAAGACCTTTCTCGGTACACAAAAACAAAAAACAAAACAAAAAAACCCCCAAAAACTCTGCAGTGGGTTACCTTTTTCTTAAGTCTTTGGCTCATTCCACAGCTTATCTGCCAGAAAACACTTGAACTGATAAGAAAAAGAGCAAGTCCCAGCCTTTTCCAAGCAGCTGCTGAGACATTTCTGTGGGCAGCTGGGCTCCTGGGAGGAGGCTTGCAAAATGACTGGAGGGTTTTTTTTTTTTTTTCCCAGCAAGAAGAGAAAACAGTCCAGTTTGGCAAGGGGAGGCTTTACTGTGTTCTAATTTTCTGATTCCCTAGATAACCAACAGTCCCGGCGCAGCCACAGTGACCCCTGCGGACTGTCTTAAGCATAAGTAGAGGAATCTTCTTTAGGCAATGTACCCACAGAAGCTGTGAGCCCCTGTGTGTCCAGTACCAGCCCTTTCCAGAGATCGAACTGCATCAAGTGACTAGCGAGGCTGCGTGTATTCGGGGATCCCCGGCACCACCACAGAGTCAGCCACAGCACGGTACTTGAAT